GCCTATGTCACTCTCCAGCCCACTAACTATCTCCACACAAAAAATCACGCCAATCCGTTACTCCGTTTCGACGTGAAAGAAAGACAAACAAACAAACACACTTTCACATTTATAATATTAGTATGGATGTATGTACATAAAATTATAATTTGTAAATGTTCCTGAATTTTCTCCTTCTAAACGGCTTGACCGATTTTGATTGTGTATCCAACTATACTCGCGCGGTATATGGTTCTATTATCGAGATCTAGATTTAATATCATAAAGAAAAGAGGCCAAAAACATAAAAACAAAAAAGTTATAAAATAGTGAATGCAAGCAACCTAACAGCGATCTAACTTTATAAGAGACTCCACTACCGCTAATTTGACGAGGACAATAAAAACATTGTGCTGTTTACGCCTTTTCGCAACTGTCTACAAGAACTATTTTATGAGTCCAGATAAAGAGCCTTGAAGTAATAAAACTTCATACACATATGTATAACTAACGACTCACCCTCACTCCGCTCGGTCTTCATTACGTTTTAACGTTTAGTATAGATTTCTCAGAGATGAGATATTTTCCCGCAGTAAAAAGTATCCTATATGTTGATCCGGATATCCATCTACCATCATACCAAATTTCATCAAAATCCCTCCAGTCGTTTGTCCGTGATGCGGTAATAGACAGACAGACAGACAAAAATTCTAAAAACTATAGATTCGGCCTCTGTATCTATAATAATGTTTATTTCAATAAGATTTTCCAAAAAATATGTAATGTACAGATTCGGCTTAGTTACAATTATTTTATTATACGTATAGATTATGTAGTTACTTAAGCATAATCATATTTTTACCGCATGATGATAGACAGACAGACAGACCGACAAAAATTCTAAAAACTATAGATTCGGCCTCTGTATCTATAATAATGTTTATTTCAATAAGATTTTCCAAAAAATATCTAATGTTTTAACAGATTCGGCTTAGTTACAATTTTATTATATGTAAAGTTTATGTAGTTACTTAAGAATAATAATATTTTTTAATGGTGGAATTCCAATTACTTATAACTACCAAGTCCTGTTTGTGGTATTTCACTTAAACAGATTCGCAGAAGAGCGACGCTAATAAAACGCTTTAATTATCGCTAACGGAGCTCAAAACTCGAGCAACAGGTGTTTGTTCATATCATTGCCGGTGTCATGGGATTGCTTACATAATATTACGGGTTTATGGTAATAGATTGATGGGATTTAGATGGGTTTAGATGGTTTTATGATTGTCTATTGATGGCAACATTCTCAGTGATGAGGTACGTCTTTATAAAATCGTGATATGTCCTTTTCATAGAAAACTACTTTCATTTTATTTATTGTATACCTAGGTAACTTATGTGTACAAATAAAATTTTGGTTGATATATTTTATGTTAACTGTATATACTCTATATACAGTTTAAATTACAAATATATTAATATTTGGAATATTAATATAAGGACTGATATTTATTCAAAAAGTCTTATCATCATTGACAAAAACCCGTCTTTATCATATGAGGTTTATTTTTGTTTCTTAATTAATTCTACAATATCAAATACAACGACGACAACCTTATATCAAATGTTTTAGAAGCTTCATAAGAGAACTTTCTAGAAAATGAGTATGAAAAAATTAGAGTCGATGTTATAGAGCATTTATTGTTTTGTACCCTAATATTCTTGCGCTCATGTTGGCCGTTGCGTTCAAATGACCCCAGCTATCCTTTGCCTTTGTTTAGACGACACAACAATAATAAGGAAAGTACAAAAAATCAGCTAACAAAAAATCCCGCGTCACGTTCCACACGGGGTGCGATCGCATTAACTTATCTATTGAACATACACGAATATCGTTTATTTACTGAGAACGATGCTTATTTGTAACACATTATTGCTAATAATAAAAAGGCTAAAAATATTTAAAATATTCTTTTATTTTACTATATAACATAACTTACCTGCTAAAATAAACATAACAAAGTCTAGACTGAGCTAGACATTACTGAAACTTTTACAAATTATGCATTAGCTACGTTCAATTAAAAATACACTTCTTCTTACGCTAAGAACATGTTATTGTGACGACACGTTTGGCTCAGTTTGTAGTGACCATACTTGTTGTGCCAGCGGTCCCGGGTTCGAATCCCGCTGGGGGTATTATCTAGTATCCATAACACAAGCCGAAGCATCGTAGCTTACCATGAAACTAGATGGTGCTGTGTGTTTATGTCCCAACATAATTATTTCTTTATTGTTTAATAATAACATTACCTTCATGAACTTACAAAAATAGTAGGTCTATTTTTGTAAGTTCATGAAATGTAAAGGACATTACGACCATCAACGATAACTTTAACTAAAAATAGTACAGTCAGTCAGTCAGTGCGTAATAAACAAACCAATATCAGGTTTGATAAGCGGCCATAGCAACATTCGGGGAAGGTGGCAAGGCTAAGTGCAGTAGTTCCGTGAAATCATTAACGCATTTCCGCTACCTGAGCGTAAAACATGACACGTCATGTTGGAACATTTTAACGATTAAAGTAATGTTACCAGCCTTCGACCGCTCTAGCACTCGCCGATCCCAATTTTATTGGTTTCTTAGATAGGTAGACTTGATACCTGATAATAATTTTGAAATTCATTATAGTCAAGCGTTTTACTTTTCACCTATGTTTTTCAATTACATATGTATATACTATATCTTTGTAAATATATATCACAATGTAAAGTCTAGTAAGTATTTTTGCGTGAAAATGTAACTAGTGCGTGTTACACATCCAAAATCAACCATTTAGCTGGCAGGGAGGACCATTGACTCTAACAAAAATTAGCACTTTAAAGCGTAATACTTCACAAACGAATCCCTTAATCGAAAAATTGATTTTAAAAGCCCGCAACATTTTTGAAAGACCTATCCAACGACACCCCACACCACCACACTTTACACGTAGAGGAGTCAAAAAAAACTTTCAAGATTCTATTTTACCACTTTGTCAGCATGACTAATACGTATATGTATATCCATGCCAAATAACAGCTTTTTAGTACTAAAAGTCTCGGAGCTAAGCTGCGGACAGATGGACGGACCTTGTTGACTACGGAACCCTAAAAATGTACATCCAAACTCGCGTTTACAATATTAGGAGGATTTGTTGTTTGGTCGCAGCTATGTTGAAACGGTAGATAATTAGGTAAATAATAGTCTATGTCCTGATCCAGGACATAAACTATCTCCATTTTGACTCGCCTACAATCTGTTAACCCGTTGTTGCGTGAAGAAGTAATGTACCCGTACTCTCGGGTACACAATTCCTCATAACTTTTCGCATTTCGTTTTAATATCAAAACGTGTGTGCTTTATCTAAAAGAAAATCATAACACAGACATCTACGTTTAATAAACCTTTTTATTTATCTTGTTGGACATTTTGTATAAACAAAAAACATTTATTAAGTTAGAGTCTATTTATTTATACGTCCGTAAAAACGTCACATATCAATGAAACACTATTATTTTTTGATATTTTTGTAACATCTGTATCATATCGCGAATTGTCCTAGTATCAATTGTCTTAAACAATCTCGAAAAATTCTTCTGATGTTTTAATACAATTCTTGAATATGCATTTACTCTTAATCTATCGGTCATGTTTACTAACATGCAATCACTTATTTATAGAATCGTTTGTCCTATCTCTCCTTATAATACACACTGGATTTATATATCACTATAAAGCATTTAAAACGGTAATGTTTATTCCTATTGATAATGATATCATAAAACAAACAAAACCATATTAAGCCAATATTTTAGCAGTTTTGTGGTTATTATATCACAATTTATTCACAAATATTGATAAGAATCCCTTTCAAACGGTAATTCCCAAAAGGTATAATGGCCGTACCCATGACTCATCGAGAGTTAAGCAACAACACTATCAAGAGATTAGGTTTTAAGCACAATAGCTCGGTGATTGACGACTAAAATCCCAATAATTGACAACCCTATGGAAAATTCCTTGAAAAGGGACTTTAAATAATGGTACCAAGTCTTAAATTGCCTTGCGGCGAGCCGAAGGTTGTAGGGTTGGGTTGTTATCTATATATTGGTCGAATGGCCTCGCTCGTCGCGTCGGCCCTGTTGCACTCGCGACTGTCACGATAACAATTACTGAGAAACTTATTTCGTTCGCGCATCAAAACTCTGCATTTTGAGCCTTATTCTTAGAGGTGTAAGAAAGAATGCGCCGTTGCACAGTCGTAGGTAAGTACGCGACGATCAGAAGCGCCGTGTCGAGTCGAATACTAAATACCGAACGGTTTAAAGGTAACATACTAACATACTACAGCTAAGTCCGCGTTACAGCTAGATATCCTAAGCTAGAGGTTTATATGACCTAATTCCCAGTACTCGACTGCATTGCACAATATCTCAACTCCCAAGGACAGTTTGCGTTAGTTTCGAGTTTTACGTGTCACTAAAATATGTCCAGACCTTTCTGAAATGTACACCGAGTTCATGTAGATGGATACTGTGCAAATTAAAATATATTACATATATACAAAGTGAAAACCCCATAACAAACCATATACCATGTTTCAATAGAAGAAGACTGAAACAAAAAAAAACCAAAACTTGTATTTATGCATTTTTTTTATTACAAATAAATATTATGTGAAATTAAAGAGTACAACACACGCCATATAATAAAATAACACCTGAATAGCGTAACTATAATCATAAACTCACAACTCTTAAAAGTTTGTTTATAAAAGAACTTGGGAAAGCGCATCAAAACGTGAACTTTGGATCGCGGATCTGCACTCAGTGACAAATGTGTGCTTCGACAGATAAGCTTCACACAGCACACATAATATAGCTAGGTCTAAAAATTCAAGTCGCGGCGTCAGCGAGTGCAGCCGGTCTCGCGCCATCGGGCTAATGAGTGGGGGGTGGGGGGCGGCCGGGGGGTAATGGCGCGTCGGATGTCGCCGGGGGGTGCCGCCGCGCCGCCGATAACAAAATCACTAGAGAACGTCGACCGTGATGTTGGAAGTATACTTGAGATGGATGAGCCACATTGAAATAATAAAGAGAAACAATCGAGATCTATGCTTTAATCAACCTGTATGTAACAATTACATTGTTATAATTTCCATTGATTTATTGAAATGAAAACTTAATTAAAAATCTTTTTACTAGCGGCGATATCACGATACATATATGACTTACACACATAACTATATATCTTTACTGAATACGGCTGTGTGCATGCATAATAAATGCCACATCCATCTATTTTCGTAATCCGCGAACATCGCCAATGCCCGAAATACAGTGCGGGCGACGCGTCGTAAATCGCGCGGCTCGGAGGGCCTTTGTGGCCTCGAGTTGGCACAAACATACCTACTGCCTCGCCTTGCCTCGGCTATCTACCTAAACCTTGCAAAAACACGGCACAAAAACAGTTAGGCAACGTTAATACCAACCGTGTGTACTTACGAGTGTGTACTTTGGAAGTATTGGAGAGAAGGGTGACCAATTAATTTGAAAGGAAGCTGCTGTTATAATATTTTTTTTTGGTGACTTTTTATATTTTAGGAATTAAAAAGTGATACAAGATCTGAATATACAACGAGCGGGGATTGTATTAGATGAAAATACAATTCTAAAGTGACATACTATGTAAATATGTAAAGACTAATAATTAATTTATACAAATACTCAATAGTCAATACGTATAAGTATATACATAAATATTAAATATATAATTAATTTAAAAATAATATTTTTTAATAATTAATATACATTTATTAATCTACCTTACATATAAAAAGATATAGGTACGACAACAATAATACATTTAAGACTTGTTTTTAGAGCAATTGTAAAATTTACTTGTTCATTCCATATAAAACTATAACAAAAAGCCGGTTTTATAGTTTTTTGGCGAAACAACGACTTTTTTCTCAATACTTTTTTAATTATCAATGTTTTATTAACTGTAGATCCGCAGTTCCAAAGGTAAATGAAAAATAAACTTGACCGCGACAAAAGTTTCGTAGCGAACTCAAATGCGGACTTACAACTGTGCCAAAGTATTATGGAGAGAGCTTACAGCGAGACCGATGCGCATAATTTAACTTGACGCATCATATAGGGACTTTTTATCGTTATAACAAATTTTGTTATTGAGTTCGCGTTTTTTTTCTTTGTAAAATTATCTTTTTGCCTAACTAACATTTTCGCGCGGCTCCACCCGTGTTGTTTACTAATATATAATTATTTAGTACCTATAATTACTTAGAGAAACAGATGATAACATGCAAAAAATCTTTCAGATCGGACTGGTAGCTCCAGAGGTTAGTACACGATTAAACGATCAGTAACACAAACTCTACCGCTGTAAAATTAATAGAGATAAATTTTATTCATGAAATACGATATGCCACCCAACATGCATTTTACACTACAAGTATAAAAGTTGAACTACATCTTTTACACCATAACCTAAAATATTATTAGATTTAAAATTATTATAAGTCATATTTGTTATATATAATTTATTTAAAATACTTATAGGATGTTTATAATTTTAAAAAATTCTTTTAATGTTATTGTTTAGAAGCACTTTAAATATGTACCTATTATAGAATGTTTGAATATCTTTATCAGTTCACTTCGCGACTACGCTACAGTAAAAGAGTTCATGTTAAATTAATAAATTATTTATAAACTCCACAGACAATATTTACGTTGTATAAATAAAAACAATATTCAACATTGTTTGTCGAGTATTCGTAAGCTTCTATGACAATTTAAGTAAAACAATGTAATTATAAGTAATTTGATTGAAACAATCTTACTTTTTCATAATGCAAATAATTTTTTACTCTTTATCTGCATAGCGACTTCAGAACTCTACTTTTCGTTATTTATTAGTTATTACTGAGTCTACTTCACATATGATGTATTATGGAAACAAAATTTTAATTTTAAATACAAAATATATATAAAATAGTAACTATTCTTATATAAAAATGCACTTTTAAACTTATTTAAACGTGTGCTATAAAGATTTTCTATCCGAGCGGCAACTATTAAGTAAAATAAATGCGATGTGATAGAAACTTCACTCGTGCTGCGCTCATCGTGATCTTTGTTGATAAATACCTTTGCCTATCTTTTTTTCTAGTTTCGGATGTATAATAGCTTCGCGGAACCCTTTCTTTATATCCTTAGAGTAGGTAAAAAGCGTGCACAAAGCGTTCTCAGAAAGAAATTTACACCTGGCTCGTACTTAAGACGTTACTTAAACGTCGCGCCGGTTACTGTACTGTTTTGTTTCCTGTAAACTTAGAACGTTAAAAAAAATTAAGAATTTTTTGGTGTAACATTGAATATAACATCCATTTTATGATTATGGGGTTTTTATAAAGTTACCTCTATATATAGTTACAATTTTACTAAGCGAGTAGTCATAAAAGTCATAATTTCTTCTACAAATAAAGCCTGTTTCGCAAAAGGTTATAGACTGCATAATATATGTATTCATTCATAACTGCGGCCGGAACGACACCGCTGTTTGTAGCAATATCTTGTTTTTACTGTTTAAGAAACTTCACGCAAGTATACAAAATTCCAACGCTCTTTCATTTTTACTTACTTTCTCAGCTACCTTTTTCATCAACACTATAAAAATATTTGAACTTTAAGTTCAAAATAATTCTATTTATTGCTAAAAACTCATACACTTTTGTATAGTAGGTATAAGTAACAGTCCTTATTCAAAAATTGGTAGAGCAAGGTCTGTATAAAAAACACATATATAAGTTTCGCCTGTCTTCGATTTCAACGCGAGCGAAGCGAAGACAAGTAAAACTAGTGAGATACCATTATATATATTTATAAACCCTTGACGTAATAATTATAAGACCATATCAAAAGGAAAACAACGCACCTAACATTTAAAACCGACACGTATCAGAAGCCGCAAATTACACCAACGCTGTACAAGTCTTCCTATTTATGGCAAAACTTTTTACGCGGGAAGAGGCGAGGGCCTTGTAATAAAACTCGCTGAAACAAAACTATCGTTCCATTCATTATCCAATTCGCTGAGGCGAAAAAACAAGTCGGTATAATTGCGGCCATTACGATCTAGCCGAGACACCCGCGAGACGTCACAAACTTGAGGAAAGTTGAGTTCAGACCAAGAAAACTTCGTTCAAAGTTTATGAACGTTAAAAACTTGGTATTTCAGTCGGTAGTCGGTGGAAAGTTGATGCGTTGGGAATTAATTGCATTAATAAGTGCGGAGGTTGGTGTTTACCGCGCGGGGCGAGGCGCGGGCTGCGTCGCGGGGGGCGATCGGACACAAAGGAGAGGCGCGGCCCGGCGGCCGGCGAGTGGCGGACCGCGGGCCTTATCACCGGCATACAGTCGCCGCGCGCGATCCGCGACGCACGTCCCGCGACATTGCTACGACACCACACGGACACACGGACTCCGCTAACTTACAACCGATGGACTAGTGACTTGTGATTGTGAGTGAAACACGCCGACCTGTGACACGTGCCGCGCACTGCGCATCCCGCCGATACTTTTATTGGTTGGAGTCTAGCTCGTTTATAATATTGCAAAACGGCTGAGCTGTCAAAAATTGTAAACAGATCACACGTGCCGACTCGCAAGTAAGAAAACTTTGTTATTATCCATTCTGCTAGGGAAAATTGGATTTTGTTATAATTAAAATGTTTTATAGTAATTCAAATTGTGGTTTAACACTGTTTAACTTTAAGTATTTGTATAGTGCTCAGTTTCTCAATAATAAGGATACATTTACTTGATATCGAATATTTTACTTAAAAATTCCGACACACTATATATTTTTAAATAATTAAAATTGCAAAAATGTATATTTTAACTAATATTAAACTACAAAATATAGGCGTATACCAAAATAATTAAATCGTAAAATACAAGTAAAAAAAATTCAACTACCTACTATTAATTTTGGCATATTTTTAATTTAAAAAACGCAGCTGACGTTATTTTATTACGTTTTTTGGAACTCGTAAAACATTTAATAACAATTGTTAATTTCTAGATAATTGTTAGACGATTCTTTTACATTACATTTCACGTGAAATATATTTCTATTTCTTAAAAGTAACATTTAATGTATTCACTGGTGTCACTCCACCATCGTCCACCATATACGTAACGAGTAATACATAAATCTTAGCGATTTCTAAAATATTACCGACGGAACTTTAGAAGTACGCACTAAACCTTTTAAATATCTTTTACGTTAAAACTAAATGTTATCTTAGGTACATAAAAAATATATTTATATTCAATGTTTAAAATTAAATATTTACTTATATTAGTAAAAAAATGGTAAAAAAGTAAAAATAAAAATTGTGCAATGAAAATTACCTCAACAACAGACGAAAAAAAGAATTAAAAAAAAATCTTTGTCACCTCACTTTAGAAACTGTAACAGATAAAAAAAATTGAAATGTCATTTAATGACGTCATATGACATTTCCAATAATTGTATCTTTGACGGGACAAAGCCTTGTGATAGCTGTAGTTGAAGCCGCGATGTAAATATTTATAGCGAAATTTAGTTCTTTACATCTGACGGCGCCATCTAGCGGCGGGGGCTGTAGTTGTCGCTGCAAGGTCACGGTGTCAACGACCCAACAACTTTTGCCGCTTACTGTTGTCGTAGGTCATAATTTTATGTCTTCTTTTTGTTTATCTTTTCGTAACTTTATAGCTTCCCGCGTAAACACATTTATCGTTTTCACCCAAATACATCAACAGAAATATTACATTAATATTGAAACGTCACATTGTGGTTTACGATTTTTTATATAAGTTCAGGTGCAATGATAAACGAGGTCATTCCACTTTGGTATTGCGTAGTCACTATCGTCAAAAATTATCGTTGCATCATTTTTATATGTAAAGCTTAAAAACGATTTTATTTACAATTTACTTCTGATAATAGAGTATAAATGCTATAATTTTATTCGCCGAGAATTTTAATAACCAGAATTCGATGATGATTAATATATAAGTCATTGGTTTTTATACAATTGATACAATGTGTGTTGTTGGACAATACAAGCCAAAAAATACTAAACGATCTCAATAACTATGTGAAATATACTGTAAACTTCATTTACTGAACGTATTATTCACAACAAAAATTATAATATTCGAAAGACTTGAAAATAATTTTAAACATAGACAGTTGACGGTCAAACCGCTAATTATCCGCACAAAATAGAAACACCGCTGAACTCGTAGCGAGCCGCGACGGCTAAAAACGGCTCTCGCGAGATTACAAGTTATTAGACCTAATTATAATAATAAATTTTCTATTGTTTCAGTAAGCGAGAGGCCAAAATGTCGACTAAGGGTAAGCGTCCTATGCGCGCCCTTACACCCGGAGATAAAATAGAGGCGATACAGCGAGTTAACGACGGGGAATCGAAAGCTTCGGTTGCCCGTGACATTGGAGTGCCTGAGTCAACGTTACGCGGCTGGTGCAAGAATGAAGATAAACTACGCTACATGACTTCTCGTCTATCATCACCGGACACAGACAAGAGTAATGATGGGGAGCCGCCCGACAAGCGCGCCCGCACTGAGTCACCCACGGCACCCCAGTCTCCGGTGACAACAGGACTTGATCTCACAAACCAAGCGACTGTAACGCATAGTGCTCCTCCACCGCCGGTTACCACCGATATCCCGGTAGAGCTCACAACCAAACGAAGTGAACCGTCACCTCCACTTCACCCACCTCGTGAACGCCGCCCTGATCCCGGCGCAAGTGTTTCAATGAGTGCTATAAGCCCACTATCGGGCCTTGGCCATCTGCCCGGTCTTACTCATTCACATCTTGGTTTGAGCTTCAATGAAATCGCAACCAACCTGACACTACTTGCGCAACTTAACCCTGGTCTTTCCGCTCTCTCTGCGCAACCTGCTAGTCGTGCTCTACGCTCCGTGCGTTCCCCAAAACCAGCGCACAATGGCGTTCTCAACTTAAATGAAACTAAACATCGGAGCAAGTCTAACCATTCTTCGGACTTATATCGACATAGCTCAAAGTCAAGTCATCATATAACATCACAATCTGCGGCATCGCAACCAGTGGATGATACTTTATGGTATTGGCTAAAGACCCAACAGGCTATGCTAGATTTAACCGCTCAAACGACGACTGCTCATCCGCTTCAACTTGGGAAAGCAAGTGACCCAACTCTACCGCCGAAACCTGTAGCACCAGCGCCCCCTGTTTCTTCTCACCTCGATTATAATAGGAATTCGTGGCTGTGGCAATATTATAAGCAGTTTGGAGGTGCCATGCCTTTACCTGAAGATAAACTTAAATCTGCATCTCAGGTGCCAAAAGAAAAATCTGCTGATAATATTCTATATTCACACCTCACTAAAAGAAAAACAGAGGAAGATAGAAGTACCATAAGCCCTGTGCAACAAAATCATACAAACGATCGACACACAACCGATCGCCACGCAACTGAAGCCTGTGAAACTGTCACAGCTCCTGAAGAGCCGCGTATTGCTGAACCTGCGATAAGCCCAGAAGTTGGAACTGAGAATAAGGAACCTGTAGCAGAAAAGCCTATTGAATCTGGAAAGAGCCAAGCGAAAGCAAGAAACGTTTTGGACAACTTATTATTTAACAGTAGCAACCAAACTGTAATCGAGGAAACTAAGAACAATGGGCCTACAAACGGAGAGTGGGAAGCAGGCACTTTGGAGGCGCTGGAGCACGGCGACAAGTTCCTCGCATGGCTGGAAGCGAGCGGCGACCCAAGCGTGACACGCATGCATGTGCACCAGCTGCGAGCGCTCCTGCACAACCTGCGCACGCGCCGGGTTGCGCCTGACGCCGCCCGCCGTAAATAAATTACTGAGATCTCGCGCTCGCTACAGGGAATATTTCAATTACGTGTACATAGTCGTATATACGTCGTCGCCAGTAAGCGTTCACTTGTGATATGTGTAGCCAAATTTGCGTAATTTCTTTGTTCTAAAAGAAAAGCTATGCATTATAATCTCTTTAATTTTAGTCTATATTTAGATAAGTTATGAATCCGACGCTGTTCTCTAAAGCTTTGTCGAGTATGTTCGACGTTAGTTATGTATTTCCGAGTTTATATCAGACTAATTGTAATACAGATATATAGTGATCATTGTAAATTGATGTTTTTGATCGCCAAACACGTTACTTTTCGATGCACGCAAGCTAATTATGTGGTTAGAATAAGTAGTACCGCTGTATGTTGCCATTTGACGATTACATTCCTAGCTGTACCCTACTGTAGTAGTTCGAACCCTATGTTCTACCTCAAGTCATAAGCGTAGCTAATGATAAGTCACGGCGTCCTTTCAACGTTCCCCGCCGGCGTGTACGTGCCTGACGGCGAGCTGATCGGATGTCATGCACTATACCAAATATTGAAAGGATGCGGCGTTCTCGTGTGCCAATCATGCGAACAAGGTAATATTGTTAAGATAATTTATGACTATCGTGTTAGAGCTAGACATTCGTGTAATTGTTTTCTATTGCTCAGTATTTTATATGGTAGACATTGTCTATGTCTCGACTCGGAATTGTATTATATGTTAAAGTTAACAGTTAAGGACACTGTGATCAAAATTATAAATTATTGAGAGATTATTAATATTGTAAGTACATTCCTAATGAATAAAATGTATTATTGTAATGTTAAAAATATTGTCCAATGGTTTAGCGGTTGCGATTTGCGAGGACAACGAACGCAACTAATTCTTCTAGCAGAGTTCAAATCCTTTTCACGGAAATTAGAATAGTTAATTTGCAATTCGTGTTAATTATATTAGCTCCACTGAAAAATATTTGAGAGATGATATTTTGTACAAAATTACAAATTGGAATTATTAAAATTATACTCCTTACACAAAGTATGTGATCTTGAAAATGTTGAAGAATTAAATTTGATTGAACCTTATGTTGACTTTTATTTCTTTCTATAGGTATATTTTGTAACTTTTTTTTAATAGTTTATTTAATGACGGGTAAAGAAATAGTCAGTTTTTACCTTCATTTTCGTTTTTTGGTATTTATAGCGCCATCTATCGTGTAGTCACAAAACATAGAAAATACTTTAATTCGGGTACGTATTAATAATATTTTAATAAAAGTAAAATAAAATTTTAAAAAAATATTTCATGTAAACCATTTAAGATCCCTTGTATATTATTTAGGAATGGTTAAAATATTACTACAATATTTGTACGATAGCGTCATCTACTGGCTAAATTTGAAAGCATTATTTAACGGACATAAACAATACTTACGTGTAGCATGGGTTTGCTCAGTGGTTCATAATCAAAATAATCAGAAACCAACGATGAAAGCCCCTGCCATGTCGTAGTGTCAGCAAAACACAGCTTTGTGGGTCGTATCGTCGTACACACCATTTTCTATAAATAAATATAATCAAAATTACTCATGCTAAAACGAGTGACTATTATAATGTTTATAGAAAAAGTAACTCACTTGTAGGCCACATTCGTTTGGTGCTTGTAAAAACAAAGGCCTTCTGTATTTATAATAAAATAGAAATTGTCGTCTAAAATTTTCAGCGTATGCCAATAGAAGCCTTTCTTTATTCGTATTAGTATAATAACTTTTAGGAAAGCAGGTGCGCGTTTCAAATACGGGCTCATTAATTTCGGGCCAGCAAAGATTAATCACTCCAAGTTCATAGATTGCATTATTCAACGACTCTATAGATAAAGGCTCTGAAATATCTTTCAAGCCGAAGATTTTCGGTGGTATTTCCTCAAATTCGCCTTCTTCGTGAGGACGATCAAATATTTCGCTGGCTACATTTTCATTAACTTCTAAAACTGGGTCAAGTGGTTCTATGTCTGATTTCTTTTCTAATGAAATTAGTTCTGATGAAACTTTGGCCGTACTCATTATAAAGCATGTAGATATTTATAATAACAGATAGCTAATTTTGAATTTACGTATGACAACAACTATGTTATTACTCATGACAAGATTTTAGTGTCGTACTACGAAAGTAGGTCATACTTTATAGTTCTAGTTTCAGGTTTTCAGTCACCTAGCAACGAAAGGATAAGCCTTATTTATTATGTTTCACATATTCCATACATCTTAATGAAACTATCAACGAATTAATTATTAATAAAGCAAGTAAACACTGCATCAAACCACTTGTAGCACTCATAATAACATATGTAATTCATTTTTTTAAATATTTATAAAGTTGATACTAAGGAAGTATTCATACAGATTATTTTCCATGAATTTAACAACGTAGAAAATATAAATCTATTAAAAATGTACTATATGTGAATAATTTCCCTAATACATTTCATTTAAAATTTGGTCTAATTTTTAATAAGATCCTACAATAAATATGAGATTTTGAATGAAGATTTATACTTCAACGTCAATATGACGTATTTGACAAATGACATATGTATGTCATACTGTGCACTACTGTCATACAGCTTCAAACCTATAACAAAATTAGACTCTCTTGCTTTGAATTTACAGTACATTTTCGATAGGCGATCAGTGTTGCGCTGTGTATTTGACAGTATCGGAAATGAGCAATAATTATCAAATGAAAATACCAAAGGCAAAGGTCGATTGAAATCTACTTGGGAATTATTACATATGGTAGCTTAATGTATATATATATTGATAACTAGTTCCACAGTTAATCATATATATGTATACCGTAACGAAAATACTATTGTTTTTATAATTTCAACGTGGTTTGAGCAAGTGTTGATAATCGATTGTTCACAAAGTACCTCGTCGAATCTGCTTATTTATTCATTGCAAATAGTTGCAAAGTGTTATCAGTACTTTTAAAACAAAATGGGGAACAAGTCGTCTCTGTTATTAAGAGAAGAAGAAATCGCACAACTTCAAGAAGAAACTGGCTGTAAGTATTTTGTTAATATTTATATAATAACAAATCCTTAGAAATATAAATACAATAAATATGACGTATTGTGAAATTGTCCCTCAGTTACACCAAATCAAATAGAGCGCCTGTACTCTCGTTTTACATCACTTGATAAAAATGACTGTGGCACACTATCTAGAGAAGACTTTCTTAGGATACCAGAATTAGCCATCAACCCACTAAGTGAAAGAATTGTTCACTCGTTCTTTGCTGAGAGTCATGATGACAGAGTCAACTTCTTGCAATTCATGAAAGTGCTGTCCCACTTTAGACCTATTAGAAAAAATAGAGAAAACAGACTTAACAGCCGAGAAGAAAAATTAAGATGTAAGTATTATGTTGTAAGTAAATATAGATATAAAATATAAATAATTTGGGTAAAAAATGTAAAAATTGACAATTCAAAAGTTCTTAAAAAAGTCTATTTGAATAAATTTTAATTTGATATTAGCTTGACAGAATAAGGATAATAAAAAATATTAGTCGTACATTAAAGTTCTTTTGAAAGACTGATTGAAAATCTTGTATTGAAAATCTGTTTGATTTTATCAAACAACAGTGTCTATAACTTAACATAAATTCAATACTGATAACTTACATACTATTCATAATAATGATGTGCAGTACTCCACAAGTATTCTTTTCTTCATAATGTCATCAAAATGGTTTTGTAATGTAGTTTCTTTTTTATGTTTTGTTAGTGACCCTAAGTTACTTTTAAGCAAATATTAATATGAATTTGGTCAACTATGATTATAAAAAGGTCAGATCACACTAACCATAAGTAGTAATAAAAGTCATATTGATATTTGATATATATCCTAAGTGAAACAAGCATATTTTAACCTTTAGAGTGTTAGAGTAAGGATATACATATGTAAAGATAAAATATTCGAATGAATAAAAATATTGCATTGCAGAACCGACTTATTCCGAAATAAAAGTATAATTTTCATTTTTATTATATAAATATTCATAAGAATTTGCATAAAAATAAGTTGTTTATATAATTATGTAATTTTAACATATTCATCAGGAAATGTATTATTTTATTCTTTTATTTTACAGTTGCTTTCTCTATGTATGATCTGGACAATGACGGTAAAATCTCAAGAGATGAATTATTAGCTATTTTGCACATGATGGTGGGAGTTAATATTAGGTGAGAATTTTTCATCTAAGTTTGAAAAAAATAAACAAATGATTTATGTATTTGAAGAAATTAAGATAAACATCTTTTTATAAAAAATATAACCTTCAAATGTTTAAAATTAAAGTCCATTTGCTGCACAAAAATGTTTAATGTTAATTAGTATTAAAGCCTTTTATTTAATTTTTTTATTAAAAAAAACTAGTTTTCAAATCTGATTTAGTGTATGGTTTCATTTGTATATGTAGTTCTTTTTATTTTTTTCATATATCATTATTAAATATCCCTAATAACTGCTATAGATAGATTAACAAACAAAATCTATTATTTATTTTTTATCCAGCGAAGAGCAACTTACAAGTATTGCTGAGAGAACAATCCTAGAAGCAGATACTAACAATGACCAGATGATCTCTTTCGAGGAGTTTTGCAGAGCCCTGGAAAGGACTGATGTAGAGCAAAAGATGTCAATTCGCTTCCTCAATTGACCACCAAACTCTTGAACGATATATGTTACCTACATAATGACTACTGTACTAGTGGCCCTAATCTATGGGCTCATTACAAAAAAGTAAATCTTATCTCTTGTATTAGAGCTTAGTGAAATTAGCAACTATTGTTTTTACTAATTTATTTGTTTTAGTATTTGAAAGGGAAAATGGGGTATATTTTGAAATTTTATTGATATTATATATTTATCAATGTTTTTTATGGATTTTTTGTTCCGATTATATTAGTTTTAATTTTTTACAATCCATGATGATATCACAGATGGAAGTTTTTAAAAATATTAAAAACTGCATTTAATAATTTCTTATTACAATTGCTATAATTTCTTATATATATTTATTTATACAACTTAGTGAATGTCAAATAGCCTAAATAAAATAGTAGGTATGTGTTATTTGAAGTATTAGAAGAAATGTAAAACATAGACTAAAAATTAATTAAAATTGTAAAATTAGAAAGAATTTTTAAATCAGGTAAGGTATATGCGACAAATATTCCTCAAACTGCTTTGAAGTTTTGTTATACATAAACAAAAAATGCTTTTGTGGCAGTAGCAATGTATGTTTATAGATTTTAATCGTCAATATAATATTTTATGTAATTCGTTTTTCATTTATCCGTTAATCAAAGAAATCATTATGAAATTAATGTTTTAGAAAGTATTTGATAACTTATAATAATATAATTAAGCGTCATTGGTCTAAAGAAAATTTCATGCAAGTTTGAATACCTTGACCAATTCATTAATAAGCTATATATGCTGCCTAATTTTACTTCGTTTACGTATTATTATTTTTCTTTGTTCAAATTTCATCACAGATGGCCCATCCCATACAAAGATATTTATCTATTGGATAGAGCCAATTCGGTATATTTTTGTTTTCTAGAATATGTAAATCGGTCTGTTTTCTATTTATACATAATATAATAAAATTATAACCGAATTGAATCTGTACATTACATATTTTCTGAAAAATCTTATTGAAATAGTCATATATTATCGATACAGAAGTCGAATCTATAGTTTTTAGAATTTTTGTCTGTCTGTCTATCTGTGACTGCATGACTAGAAAACCAGTGGATAGATTTTAATGAAATCTGGTATGATAATAGCTGGTTATCCGGGTCAACATATAGGATACTTTTTACTTGCGGGAATTTCATCTCTAAGAAATCTATACTAAACTTTAATATGTGTAAACTGAATTTATAAATATGTTTAAACTGCGGCTTTAAAAGAATTTATAAAAACTAAATTTGTTAGGATTTTTAATTAGTTAAAACAAATTATATTTTTAATGTAATAATTATTTTTGAATATAAAAGGATAAATAAAAAGTTTTTTTTTTTATATTTCAGAACTATAAGAACACTTAATATTAAAGAAATAGAGTACGAGAAGTAATTTAACAAACTGAGATTGCGATAAAAAATGAAAATATTATAATGAATATTTCTTTATTATAATTTTCTTTATTACAATTATTGCAATTATTTTCATAAACAGAAAGGATGTAAGAATCTAATAATTAATATATATAAATTGACTTATTCCATAAATTTTAGAAGGCAAGGAGAATTATAAGCTGTAATGTAATTAGATAAAAAACGATTACTTAAAATATTTTTTTAATTAATATACAAAATTCATAGAGAATCAAAGAAAAGACTCAAACCAATTTTTGTATTTTATTTAACCTGACAGAATTTCGAATACAAAAAAATAATAATTCATATATAGAGATAGATATATTACAGATTATAACAGAAAAAGGAAATAGATAAAAGACATCTCATATTGATTATAACATTTTATGATGAATAAATGCACCACTAAACCTAAGCAGTGGAAGAAACTGCTAATTTCTTTAGATGCTCCATAAATACTTGCAGCGATACGTCATCGGTCAGCACTGGGGCGCCACCGTCCTACAAAAATAAAAAATGTACTTAGAAAATAAAAACAATATTAACTGAATCAAATCATGCATATTTTAATAATGTAATCCCATTTATAATAAAAAATATGTATGCTGGTGTTATTTAAATTACTATTATTATTTTCACTTGTTATATTATTATAAATAAAATAAATAATAATATAAGAACAAATATAGCTTCATTATAAAAACCCAAGAAGTCATTCCCAAGTTATAAATAAAACACACACATATATTTGGTAGCAAATAAATTAGTACCTATATTTAAGCTAATTTGAGGCAACTACTATGTTAATATATTAATATTATACATATAATAAAATCCTAACCAAGCCGAATCGGTACATAAAATATTTTTTGGAAAATCTTATTGAAATACACATTATTATCGATACAGAGGCCGAATCTTTAGTTTTTAGAATTTTCGTCTGTCTGTCTGTCTGTGCCGGCATCACGGAAAACCCACTAGAGGGATTTTGATGAAATTTGGTATAATGATAGCTGATTATCCGGATCAACATATAGGACACTTTTTCTGCGGGAAAATATCTCATCTCTGAGAAATCTATACTAAACATTCTATACAATGTAAGTAGGGACGAATTCGGGCAAAGAAAGAGTGAGTAGTGAGTATTCTTTAAAGATCGTTAAAAAACAAAAGTATTAATTAATACTTTATAAACCCATTATTTTCTTTATATAAAAAAAACATATAAAGCGTTTAATAAAAATAAATGTAGAACAGTCGCTATAAGCATCACAAATATTTATAAAAAAACCCAAACCCCAGCGATAGATACAGATAAAAAAATTTAAAAAAAAACTCTACCGCAGATGGTATCGGCATCGCCTGGTTTTCGCCAAAACAATGATGAAACAAAAAAAAAACAAAACGTCAATTCAAGTCAAACCATGCTGTGATGGCTGATAAAAACATGCGAGCTGCGTTGCACAAATCACACTGAAATTCACTTTTAATGCAAATAATTTTTTTTTGAATTTCAATTAATTAATTCGAGCAAATTTTTTAAAAACAATACAAAAAAATATATATTATCTCACCCCTCCATAAGCGTACATGTTGTTGTGTGTCTGCGATGGATTGACCTTTGACAATAGGAATCTTGCCTGTAAGAAATAAAAAAAAATATATCATACTAGCGGACCCGACAGACGTTGTCCTGTCTACACGTCTTTAATTTGAAAATTTCAAACTCTTTTTAATAATTTTTTTGATGAAAATTATTATTCAAATTGTGAATCTAAACCATTCCCAGACCCTTGAACACACACAAAAAATTTCATCAAAATCGGTCCAGTCGTTTGAGAGAAGTTCAGTGACATACACACTCACAGAAGAATTATATATATAAAGATATATAATAAATATATTAATAAAATAATACTATCATTCAAGGAATTAAATAACCTTGTTTCGTTTTAATAATTTTAGAGTGTCACATTGCACTCGCTCTACACGTATGAAATATTAATTTATATAAACATTTTCACTTAAATTATAATCTTTATTTCATTCAAAACTTTTATTCTCATTAACCTAAGCTGCGTTAGTGGAAACAAAGGCGCACTGATAAGACGTCAGCATGTCGTGTTTGTGTAGAACTCTGCTGGCGGCAGTCGCTCTCTCATGTACGTTATCAAACATACACGCTCACGGTCAAGCTACTCAGCGCTTAGACCGAATAAAAGGTTCCAAAACATGCTATCTTTTTTAAATTTTAAATTAGAGCCTTCTAAAAAGTTGCATAAAAAATTAAGTTAATTATTAGATTCCTGATCGAAATTTCACGTTTACAGATTTAATGTGCGTTCTGCTATTGAATGGAATGCAAAAGGAAGACTTGGACGTGAGCATGTTGAACAAACTGCATCGACACAAAGTAAACATCGGCGATATGAACAATGAGTATGTATGTGCATTTTGTAAATTTAGCAATCTGAGTTAGACGTAAATAATAAGAGACCATAATCGTAACCATTTTAGAGAACTTCTCCGAGGATGTACAACGATACGAGCTCTTGAAAATCAAAATAACAGTTTTGAAGCAACTACCGTGACAAATAAGGGTGAGCACAGCAAATAATAATTAGTCCGTATACATTTTGAATATTAATTTAAAGTTTTTCATCATTAAAATTTTATTTCAGAAAACTTGAATAGAGAAAATATAGATAATGTAACTATGAAAAATTATGACGGTAGTACAGCGAATATTAAAAAGGAAAGTACTACGAGAGATATTATTCAATATAACGACGGCCAACCCGAAATGCAAAGTGTTTTAAAATTTTGGCAAGAAAAAGTTGGTATAAAAGTTAATATGTCGAATAATACGTCTCGATTAGAGCACAATATAGATGAAAGTCTTTTAAAAAATGAACAGAAAAATAAAAGAAATGTTGAAAGCAATACAAATTACAAAGAAACGGATACAATACAAAAAATATTAGCAAATTTAGTTGTGCAGCGCCATGAAGATAACAGTGTGCAATCGACTACAGCTAGGGAAAGTATCAATGGAAGAAAACAATACTACTACTTTCCACCAACATTTTATGATAATTACAGATATTCTGAGTATAATGATCATAAAAGCCCTTCTAGCTCTAATAGAGTTAAGCAAATAGATCCATATGTAGGCATGCGTCAGATAATGGAGGACAGTATTGATATGTCCAAAGTTACAGCAGAAAGGAACAAAAGTAATGTAAATTTAAATGACATGCTCACTGTTTTTAATACCTTCAAAAGTTATTACCCAGTTATGGCAAACATTAAAAATAATAAAATGAAAAATCCCGTACAAGATTTACATTTAAGCACAGAAGCAATTACCGAAAAGATTTTTACTACAACAGCTAAAATTACAGCTCCGAAAATTCCTCAAAACATGATCAAAGAAATAGCCATTAGCGTAAAAGATATGATACTAAGTGAATTGCGAAAAGAATTTATAATAATAACGACTACAATCCCAACTACTGTAGCTACTACATCCACCGAAAAGGAAACAGGTAAAAATAATACCAACAAAAATTTTTTTCATTAAAAAGTGCTTAAACATAAGTTTACAACCATTTTCATTTTTTTCAGAATATATCACTACAACTTCAAAGACTAATCACAACATAGCAGAAACTATTTTAAAAAAAATTACGGATTTATTTAAAGAGATTAAATCATTAAAAAAGAATACTCTAATATTATCAGATGACAATAATCCCGAAAATAAGCCGGCAAAGGGAAAAATAGAAACGCAATGGCCACCAAGTTTAAACAATATGGGACTATCGGAACAAATATTCAATAATTTTGGATTCAACCAGTATACAAATCAAAAACCACCACCAATGTTTAAATTTTCTCCACAAGTACATAAATACAGATCATACGGCGACCCAAAGCCTGTACATCGAGTTGTTAAGCCAGCACATCTAATAACTGTACAAACCAACAATATGGAAATTCCTCCCTTAGGCATCCCCATTGATGTTCCCGAGAATCCCATAAATCAAAATATCATTGTTACTACGACGTCATATAGGATTGGTCCAAGCAGAATCGAAAGCAATTTAAAATTTGAATCAAGTTTAGGCATTGAAGACTATATACTGAAGCAAAAACCTTTAACAAATCCCTTTATAGATACACCAGAATATTATTCAAATTTTCAACCAGACTACCCAAATGGTGGTCAATTACCATTAAATAAAAACAGCCGCACCAATTACAATGCAAATTATAAGATAAAAACTCCTGTCAATTTTAAAAAGCCAAATAATTTTCACAGAGCAAAAACACTTATACCGTTTCATGAAAAATTAGAAAATGACAATAGCTATATAGACATGTCTGGACCTAGACAGCATACGGGCAGAATAGATTGTTGTAATGAAAGATACTCCTATTCCAAGCAGATGATTGAATGTTGTAATAAAAAAATAGCTTCTCGACAACAAATGTCGCTTAGCAATGTGAAAAAGCAAGCGCCAGACGACACACACTTTAATAACTTCCTTAAATCCCAACAAAAGGTCACAGACATGTTAGAAAGAATACTAGCCACAAAAAATAGAGTACAAGGTGTTGAAATTGCTTAAACTAAATATTTATTTGTTTTAAAAAAATATATAAATTTTTGAACAATTATTGTACTGTTTCACTCTCATCTAAGGATAAGGCATTATCATTTGGACAGAATTTTACTGCCATAATGATAGTCTTAAATTTCATAGAGCATACTGATCGATCAAAATACTACTAGATCACCTATCAGATGTATAATCCTATCACCAATTAATTGTGTTTAGGTAATTATTCTAGTTGAAATAAATGTATAACAATGTAAATTAAACCTTAAATTCAATGCTTAAAGTTGTTTTCACAAAAAAAAAGATAAATTACAAAGCACACTCAAATGTTCAAATGAGCACTCATTCGAGGAGGACATTTTTTGTCTCTGATTGTGTATCTAGTATTGTTTTGATCACTGAGCATACTAATATTATTCATTTCTATTCAATAGTTACAGGAGTTATGTAATATGATTGTACAGCAAACTGAAAAATTTCAAAAGAAGAACTAAAGATATAATTTCTAATAAAGAAAATATGTACTCATGAGATTCAAATACGTTTAAATTTTAGAGAATTAAAAAAAAAGTCAGAATTACCATTTGTTATATTTATTTACACATATTCTATATATACTAATATAATAAAGTGGTAAAGTTTATAAGTTTGTATGTAGGAGGCAATCTCTCAAACTATTGATCTGATTCTGATAATTCTTTAGGAATAGATATGAAGCTACATTGCTGATTGCTATGTTTTTATTTTGATAAAATGTGTTTGCCGTCATGCAGAAATCATAATAACTTTAATTGAAGTCGAGGAAAAACTCACTAAACGGTTAACATAAAACAATAAAAAAGTGTGGCAAAAAGATACCAGTCTTTTAAAAACCTGTTTTCATCCACCATATTAGCTAGCAATATGCCCATTTGGCAATGGGCATTTTTTTTCCTTTGAAATTGAAACGTCTTTGAATCCCTTGCGATTATGCCAGACTTAATGTATCACAAGAACATTTAATATATGTACATATCTGTTATTTCCTTATAATAAATGAATGTTTACCTGTGAGCCGCCATGCTCGGTGTCGATGTACCGCGGCACCGGGAAGCGGCTCTGCAGGATCTCCTGCGCGTCGTCGACGGGCGCGCGCAGCAGCTGCGCGAAGCTCTCGTATTCCGGCATGTCTTGGTAGCGGAGGGCACGCCATTGGGCTATTGTCTGGAATATACATTATAATGGGTATTGTATTCAACCATTTTTAATGTCCCAATGTTGGGTGCGGCTTCCCTTCAATACCTACGAGGGGAGTCAGGCCATAGTCCACCACACTGTTCAAGTGTGGCGGACTGCACATGTCTTTCAATTGCTGGGTTCTCTTACACATGCAGGTTTCCTCACAATGTTTTCTTTCATTGTATTATAATGAGTGATATACCATACTGTTAAATTAGGTGATATTAAAAAATTGGTATGGTTATGTTTGAGTAGAGATTGAAAATATGTTTTGTTATACATATAATATATGTAAATAGTTAAAATATTTGACCAGTTTTAGTTTTACTATGATCAAAATTATAAATTTATATATTTTTCATTGAACACTGACTGCATAGTAAATTTTATAATAATTAGCTACAAATTTGGACCAACAAATTTATTTTATTAAAAAAATCCAATAAATCGTGTTTTATAAATCTAATGAAAAATAAGAAAGTTCTATACTATATTACTTACAAAAATCATTCACAAAGCATTTTTAAAAGATTTATTTAAATACTCAGTGATTATTTAAAGATTTTTAACAGTTAATTTAATTTCAATTAAAAAAAACTGAATTCTATTACAAACCTCGCCATGGTATATCAATATTTGGAAGAAGGTGTCCATGAGTAGTATCCTGTCCGGTTGTATGGAAGAGGTGTCCAGTAGCACGGGCTCGGGCGGGCCGCCGAAGCTGTACGAGTACAGGATCGGCTGAATCATGATGAGGGACTGCGTCAGGTCCTCGCGCATTAACATATGCCTGTAACAATATTGTATTTATCGATTGATTTTTACTTTAATTAAATTAATCATAATTTAACAAGTCTTTTTTTTTGTAATTATTAAGCTATTTTAAGTAAATCTTATATAATATAAAAAATATAAAAAAACTGTATATTTTCATCAATAATTGAACTGTAGCCTTAATAATTTACTGTATATATGATTAAAACAGTGTATTGCAACTATACATTTTTTAAGCTTGCCTTGCTTGTTCCGAAAAGGATATAGCACTTTTTTGTACATACCTGTAGAATGTCGTCTCATCAGGCGAATTGTTAAATACTTGCAAGAATTGCGAACGTCTCAAGTGGTACATGAACTGTGGATATAAACTGAAATTCTCCGAGAGACGGAAGCTGTTTGGATCATCTTTAGCATATTCGCCGAATTTCTGGCACTGTAACGATAAAAATAAACATAGGTTATTGAAACACATGCATTATAAACAAAATTATTGTCTAATAGCGACTTACCCTTACTTCGCTAGCTACGTTTTAAATTTTTTTGGCGGAACCCTAATTCTTAAGTCCAGCTGGTCGCGGAAATTAACCGGAACAAACAGACAGACAAGACATTTTTAAAATTGTGTTTTTCTTATAAGTACCATATATAATTTCGTATGCATTTAGAAAAAAAGTTTTATTTCGACATTACAAACAGACATTTCAATTTTATTTAACTGTATAGATAATACTGTGAAAATTCTTAAATAAGAATTAAATTTTCCTTTATAATTCATAAAATATAAATAAATGTACATAAATGAGCATTAGACGACTTTGACAAAGACAGTAAATTTAATTACCTTTAATATAGATACTATATACTGAAATCAACAGCAAAAGCTAATCACATGACTTGTACAGTAATTATTAGGTGAAAGAACATTAGTTCTAAAGATAATAAACATTTATGTATTTTGGTTTAACGTTAAACATCTATTGAAATAGAAGTCACTTTTAGTGTTTTTTGTTATTTATAAATATTTTACATATTTGAAAACAAATTAGTAAATATAGTAAATCTTTGAAGATAGCAAATAAAAGAATATCATTTTTCAAACAACAATGGTTACTTACTATGGCAACCTATTGCAACCTATTTCGTTACGGTCTACTTTTCTGACCTGATACCCGTATGTATCGGTGTGATTTTAAAGACGTTTCAATAAAAAACAACAGTCATACCAATCTAATGAGCATGCGGTCCAGCCAGCGCAGCACGTCGGGCCCGTCCTCCTGCTCCGCGCGGTACACCACCAGGCGCGCCATCACCACCGCCGCCGCCTCCTGGTCGAAGCCCGCCGAGATGTGGTGCAGGTTTACCGCCGCGTCGCCCCAGCTGAAGAAGTTATATTGCCATTTTTATATTATCCATACTTTAAATTGATAGTTTGTTTTTTTTTTTTACTTGTGTTAAAAGCATATTGTACTAGCATTCTTGATCATCAGATTCATAAGTTTAAAAATTAAAGTCAATTTTAGGTTAATAATTAATCCCCCCCAACGTGCGTTCACCTTGTCGTGGTGGGGGGGCTCAGTAGTGCCCGGCAATCCAACCGGGCGCGAAGCTAAGAAACGCACAGGGAGGTTGCCCACTTCGGTGGGCGGTGGGAGGTGGCCCTCTTCGGGGGGCGGTGTACCATGCGGGTTGCTCCTGGTACTTCTCTGATAGCAGAGTGGACTGTGGAGCAACCCCATGGTTGTGGTGGTCTGCTTCGGCAGACCTGCCGTCGGGGCGTCGTAGTTGAATGCGTAAGCGATCCTGCGACGCCCCATTAAGACGGGGGAAAGTTTTGTTGGGTTTTAGTGGGTAGTACTGGCTGTATTACGCCGGTGAGTCCCACACGTCGTGCGTAAATGCATTTCCCAACGTTAAAAAAAAAGGTTAATAATTAATATTATTAATTATTATGTTAATATTTAAAATATAATAATATTTTTTAAATCACAATTTAGACCTACCCATACGTTTTTGCACGTGTTACAATAGAATATAAGTATAAATGGAATGATTACAACTCCTCTATTCCATTAAATAGTGTAACAATGATTTATAAAATTTGACAATAATAGCAGAGTCATTAAACTGTATCAAGGTATATTATTACATTTGCGCATAACATCGAAAAGGTGCTTTACTTACTTTCTTGCGGCAGTGGTAACGCGTACACGTCGTTGTCCACTAGAATGTTGGTACTGTGTAATCAACTGGACACATCCACGCCCACCTTGCGGTACCGGTGCTGCATGTTGATTGACCACCTAACATGAATAACAATAATAATATAATTAAAAAAAAGAAAAGGAACAAGGAAAGGAATATGTCCTTTAAAGAGCATCTTTTTTTTTGTGATTTATTATCTGCAATCAGTTTAACTATAAGCAGATTGTGTGAGGGTACTTAAAGAGCATCTAAAAATATTTAAGTGCAAATTACAGTTGCGGAAAGCCCTAACAATATTTCAAACATCCTATAATAGCTTTTCAATATATCTCATATATATTGAAAATATATTAATATATTAAAAGTAGGTAGTCTCAGACAAACCATCTACCATATAAAAGCAGACAAGTGAGATAAAGATCTCAAACTTCATCCTATGAACCATCTCTGTGAAGATATGTAAATAATTTAATTCAAATTCGATTTTCTGCTGATATGTAAAACACATGCACATCTCTTCAAAACACTTTCAAGAGATCATTAGTATTAAACACTGAATATCCATACTAATATTATAAATGTGAAAGTGTGTTCGTTTGTCCTTCTTTCACGTCAAAGCGGAGTGACGGATTGGCGTGATTTTTGTGTGGAGATAGTTGGAGGGCTGGAGAGTGACATAGGCTACTTTTTACCGCAGGATATTATATAATTCCTACGTCAAAACATGTTACAAAAAAAATCAAAAAAAAATATATAAAACAGAATAACTTGAAACTTGGTATAAGTGCTCTTTAATAAAATTAAATAAATACGTATTTTAGCATTTATCGAAATTCACCCTAGAAGTGGGTTAAATACAGGGTAAAAGTTTATATGAAACTACCTTTTTAGATTTTTTGCAGTTTTAGCGCGAGCGAAGCAGCGGGTTCTGCAAGTAATTTATAAATTGACGAGGTAAATTCTTCTGTCCATTAAAATAAACTATTTACCTCAAAGAAGATAGCCATGGTAGTGCTTGGTGTGAAAGTACACATTTTCCATTGGCAAGTGTTGCCCATGCCCACCTCTTGGTCTGACACACATGGACCCTTTACATTCAGAGACACACATGAGCCTATAGCACCAGTGACTGAAAAGTATTGATATTCATTATTAATGCATTGTTTTTTTATTAAGTTTCTTTATTTTGAATATTGGTATTTAATCAACTATATATAACTATATATTAATAAATATATTTAATAACTGTATTACGCGTAATCTATACATATAATAAAATTCTAAGTGAGTCAAATCTGTACATAAAATATTTTTTGGAAAATCTTATTGAAATAAACATTATTATCAATACAGAGGTCGAATGTATAGTTTTTAGAATTTTTGTCTATCTGTCTGTCTGTTACCGCATCACGGAAAAACCACTAGAGGGATTTTGATGAAACTTGGTATGATGATAACTGGTTATCCGGGTCAACATATAGAATACTTTTTACAGTGAAAATATCTCATCTCTGAGAAATCTATACTAAATGTTAAAACGTAAGTAGGTACGAGCCCGAGCAAAGCGAGGGTGAGTCTCTAGTATTTAAAATAATTATTATATTTAGTAAAAACACTAATTTTATATAAAAAAAGTATACATCGATAAAATTACTTAATATAAGGACTAGAAGTTAATGGTGATTTGGAGTGGGCTAAATCGGTATGGTAATTGTAATTTAAATTAGATTTTTTTTAATTTTCATATTTAAGAAAGCTACAATATGACTACACAATACCTTTAAGTTCTCGGCTACATTTAACTTCCAGAGTTCCATTAAAAGCCATTTTGTAATCCCCGTTTTGATCTTTTGCAAACACTCTTTGGAAAGTTTGTTTAAATAATGAAGAGTTGAAGGAATCACCCATTACCATGTGACCTCTAAGAAAACAAATTGAATAAATTAAATATTTCAAGTTCTATAGTTTTATTTATAATATGTAATTAGTACCTACAAACTATATAAAATATATCAATATCCTCAAAACTATACATTTAAGTAACATTCTAATACTCACCCAGTTGAATTGCAGCACTGTTTCATCTCCATCAAGCCTGTTTGATCCAAAGCACACGAGTATATATCAATAGCATGCCCATTTGTGGCAGCTCTCAGTGATAGGGCTTCATAGTGTTTGATACCCTTCTTCATATACTTTGCATTATCTTTATGAATGTCATGATGGGACCTGATAGGCTGCTTTAATTCATCATTGACAACTTGACCTGGACCTTGAGAGCAAGGTCCACCAAGGAACATCATGATCCTTGCCCCAGTATTTGGATAAGTTACTTCTAATAATCCTACAGCTAATGATAGTGCAACACCACTGCTTCTCAATGGGCGCTTTCCTACACCTAGTGGCCATGGATCTCTACCTAATTCACTTAATAAATCAGTTAGAGCCATATCACATTGCTTCACTGGTTGTAAGAAGCGATGAGCAGGTGGTTGTGGAGCTGGAGCACCTTGTCTTTGTTGAGGGTTTGGTGCATTAACACGGCCAATTGCTAATTGCTCTTGAATTTGTTTTGCTGTTAAATCTTTGGTCCCTTTGAAAACAAAACACTTGTATAGACCTTCAGTACCTGGAAAAAAAAATCATTTTACTAAATAGACAAAAAAATATATCATAATATATATATTTAAATGTACTAGATATTAATAATAAAATATAGTATTTAAAGCTCACCCAGTTCATGAATTTGTACCATTCGTCCAAATGTAATAAGTCCAACAAGAGCATTCTGTGGCATTAAACTAAGGGAAGTTTGTAGAGAATCTTTAAGAGCGCCTAATTCTTCTTCATCAAGGCAAGTGTCCACCACTAATAAGAATATAGGGGGCATACTTTGGGCTCTTGTTATGGTGTACTCTATAGTAGAAAAGTTAGGTATCAATTCAGCTGGCTGATGTTGTTCTGATATTGCTGCATATTGTGGAGGGAACTGAAAATATATCAAAACATGTTAATCACTTATTTCAAATACACTAATTGTTTATTTACTTTATACTTTTATTGCAAAAGAGCAATGACTTACTGGATTTCTTTGAAAGCAGAAGTTGCACACCCATAATTTCGCTCTGTAATCAACTTGACACATAGGATTCAATACAGCGCGACAGGTATTACGTGTGCATAATACTGGTTCATATTGAATTGGAGGCAGATCAGGTCGTTCTTTTAATGGTTGATATAGGGAAACTAAGGGAACAACTAGCCTTGTAGCCTCAATTCTACTAGATGGCCACACGTTCCAAGTAAATCGTATTCCATCTCTATCCTCATTTTGCTGAATGAACTCCTCGTACGTTGCCATATTACTGAGCTGTAATTGGAAAAGGAAAAAACACTAAGTGATACACACCAAACACACATTTTCACGTATAAATTAATTAAATCAGAAATATACCAACCCAGATCACATATGCTGGTCAGCGGCTAGATAAGCCAGCGATTTATAAATACTTTAATTTAAATTCATTCAGGAATATCAATGGAACAGACTTTAAGATAAATATCTTTTTTTTCCAGACGGACTGAACCCGAGCTGATTTGGCAATAGTCATTTAGTCAATCCAAATCCATAGATATCAAAACTGTCACTTCGCCACGTCATTTTTGTAAACGCATCAACTAAAATTAACTTGGCTATTTTTTATTAAAAATATCACATTGGATATGTTGCTAATATTTTAAACATTATTATTCACTTAAATTTATTTTTTGGTTTCTTAATAAGAATTATATTTAGTATGGATAGAACATCCATAGACTGTCTTAGCGTCCTTGTCTATAACTCACAAACATTACGTTCCATTTTAACATCTATTTTTGTTAACTATTTTAAGAATATATTATTTCGATAAATAAAACAAATTAAATGAATTAACATGAATACTTATTACGACATAAAAATACTTATATTGAATTATTTTTTTTATAAAAGAGTATTTTCGTTATGATAATGTATATTTATAGACTTCTAATTCAAACGTTATTACGGAGTAATGAAACGTTCTTGAATGAAATATTTTTTTTTTAATTTTTTGATATAGTAAATTAAATTTCAATTGTAGGACATGATTTGTAAAATAATTTATACTATTATTTAAAGTTATACATATTTCGGATAAAATAAGTGCATGTAAATTTAATGACATGTCATTGCTTTGTTTCAAGAGCAGGAAGTTTACGCCAAAAAGTGCGACTGCGCACTGGCCAAATTAGTAGGTAGTGTGAAAGAAAATGGCGATCAGCGAAAGGCGTCCGGAGTTAACGTGATGAAAAACATTGTTAAAAGCTCAATTACATAGTGTTATAGTTATTAATTGTGTCAGATGTAGATTAATTAAGTGTTAATGAATAGTGATTGTGTATAAAAATGGCTGCGAATATGTACAGAGTCGGCGGTAAGTAACAATAATTGGTTATTTTTGTTGTAGCTTCGCCGGTTCACCGCCAGCCAACTAGCGGTGCTTTGCTTTGATTGTCGTACCTTCATTAATTGTTAACATTAATTAGTTCAGTGTTGTTAAATTTCAAGATTTCATCATTATTTTGATTGTTTTTGTTGTGAATTAAAAGATATACAAGACTAAGCCTTACTTATCAATAACTTATTATTTTACCAAAATTCTTCAAATAGGACATTAGCATTTGCATCTAGGTATAATTGTATCGGCTCGCGTATCTGTATGCGGATGGTTAGACATGAATTAAAGTATTCGCGGGAATTTGTCAGTTTGTTTTCTACGTTCTTTGTCAAGAATGTAAGGTTTGACACGAGATTTTAGGTTATATTTAATGTTGTCAAAACATTTTACTTCATATTTTGGTAAATGAATATAATTTTAAATGCTTAGGATGTATTCTGCCTGTAGGATCCATGTGGGGATTTGGTTGTCAAGTTATCATTTCATAGCGTAGTCGCAAGTATTTTAGGTAATATGTCGAGAATATACGTTAAAGGCGACGAGGTATTGTAGATAAGGTTGGCTTTGTCGCGCGAGCTGGCGGCAGGCGGCTGGTAGCTCGTGTGGCGCGCTTCGCGGTCGCCGCGCCGAATGTTAATTAGCTCTTCCTTTTAGACTACTTCCTATCACTAAATATCGCGTCATTGAAAACTTGTTGTATCACTTTATTTTATTAAAACAATTATATTACAATAAGTTAATTTTGATGAACTAATATGCCCAATCTATATTTACTATCCACATTTAATACCAGTATAATATCTTAGTCTATGTATTCACATAAAGTTTTTAGAAATTAATTTACTTATACAAATTTATAAAATAATATTAAATTAAAACTTATATAATTCATCCCTTAAGTTCATGGATTTTTTGGTTTTATGGTTCATTATTTATATACATAATATTGAGAAAAGAATTACATTATTAAATATAAGATATTACTTTATCACTAACCATTCTCATTTCTGACAATACTTTAAATATAAATTTCGTTTTAAACATACTTCTTTGGCATATCTTACATATATTGTGTGTTATAATTGTAGATTAAAAACTATTTTATAAAAAATAAAATACTTTTTTATTTTTACTTATATTTTTACTTATTAGAGGTAAATAAATATTAAAAATATAATCAACAGCTTAGAGTAGCTTCATTATTTCCTATGTTATATATTTATTCTAAAAATTAAGATTCTTAAATATTCATGATAAAAAAAATTATATTTTTAATAGAAACAAAATTATATATAGGAAACTCGTGAGTCATTAAGTAAGTTTGTCTATATAATAATCTGCAGTTTCAGATAAAATGTTATCTAATAAAATCAACATTACACATATTGTCTTTGTACAAGATTTTTTATATAAAACTTTGATAACACTTCTAAGGATTTTCTTAAAAAGATATTGATTTCTATATATATAACATATTTCTCTTCTTTTTTGATACATATTAAAAAAAATACTTATTGATATTTTTTTTTATATTTTATTTAGTAACTTTTATTATTCAATAAATATATAAAAAGTGTAAGCATTTTCATAAAATATGGTCTCTTCATAACATATTATTATCTTAAATATAATATTTATGTGTGTCACATGATAACTACTTTTAATTTTAACAATTTTTAATTTTAATAAAATTATATCTATTAAAAATTATTTTAATGAAATTATATCAATAATATATGTCTGGTTAGTTCTTAAAAAATTTTTTTTTATTAATTCACAGTATAATGTTGTGTTGTTATCTGTGCATATATTAAAATAAATTATTATCCATACAGAACATATATGTTCTTGATGTAATAGACACCATATCAATAATTATTTTGTTTGTTTATTAGAGCTTTGGATAAATTTCGATTCTCTTTTTTATGGCATATTTTGAGCTTATTTAAGATATATAACATTTGTTAGGGAGATTTTTTAAGCGTACGCCATCAATAGGTAGTTGATAAAGAACTTTACTTACTTAATTACTAACAATTTATTAATGTTTATCAAAATGTTAAAGCCACATATCTTTAATATATTTCACAATTTATGTGAAATAACAAGGATTAAAATTAAAAAAATGTGTATTTATTATACATGATATAGTGTAAATAAAAAACGGAAATACTTTTCGTGTTAAATGGCTAAATGAATCAAAAGGTGTTGCTTGAAATCCCTGTTCTTCGCACGCCTAAACAAAGCGGTGGTGATTGTTACCATAGCAGCACATTAGGTTAAAGCCATACTAAGTTTTACTTCTAAACACGATCCAGTAAAGATGAGGATTTGGCGGCAATTTACAGGAAGCTTGTTTAGAGGCTGTGACTACTGATTAGCGACATAGGCCGGGCCCACACTATAGTGCCCATCACGGTTCGTTCTCGGTGCGATATCGGTCTAATAAAAATATTTTGATCAAGAAACAATGAGTGACTTCACACTATCGTTAAGATTCAAGTTCCAGTTAATGCCCACTCCAGCAACGATTTTTGTATAAAAATATTTTCCTCAGACCGAGAACAAACAGTGATCAGTACTAACGTATGAATCGGGCCTTATCCTTACGTCGCTCGGGTGAGTCCTTAGGTGCTTAAAAGTAGCCTAAGTGTTCTCCGTTTATAGTATTTCTGTGTACTAAGTTTCATCCAAGTCTGTTCAGCCGTTTCAGTATAAAAGAGTAACAAATATACACACACATACACATACACATACTAACTTAAGCATTAATAATAGTGCTCCTATAAACTTATCTATTATTGAAATACTTTGTGGATAAACTAAGCATATATTTCCTCATTAGCTATACAAGCTTCTGTCTGGTTGTAAATACTTATTTCCATGTAGCAACACCATGTATAATACCTATTTTATATACGAAGCAGTCTACTGTGAAGAGTAAAAGTTATAAGTTTGTTATATTTGTCTTAAACTTAGTTTTTGTAATTGAACACTTATTTTATTAAAAAAATATGAAACAAAACCCATTTAGCATGTGGGAAACAATGATTCGTTTGACGCTATGAGTTCGCAATTACCACCGTCCAGTGGTGAAAGTTGCATACCTAAGTACATATCCGAACAATAAACTGGTCCTGACAAGCTAAACTCGACCGACCACTTGCCGTAAATTATTATTTTACTAACATTTTCCCAGCGCACACCTTAACCTTACCATTGCGTTACCGTATATATTATGGTTAAAAATGTATCGGCTAACGACATTTTAAAAACGTTTGTGTGACCATAACCTGTCCGTCTACATAGTCTGCTTTTTTATACTTTTTTAATTGGTTGATGTTTTTTGAAGAATCACCAAATTGATTTTAATCGAAGTGGCAATAATCATAAAATGTATATAATAATTGCTATTAATAGATAAGTAATATAAACCAATACGCGTTCGAATTGCGCAACGCAGACGCAGGTTGTAAACAATGTAAGAAATACATAGCTATGTAACAATATTGATCTGTTCAATTAAATGTTTTGTTCTAAATACGTAGCGGAAAGTTAGGCTTCGTCATCACTAAGTATCCACTTGAATCAGTGGGTCAACGATCCAAAATGCACACGTCATATTGATTTTTTGTTTACTCAGCAAACACTTGATCAGTGTGTACAAAATATCTAGTAAGGCTTTAGGAGATTTTCGAATAAATAAATATATTAGTAGAATAGTAATAATTTATTTGTATATAACGGAGTTATATCACTCACTAGCGACTCACTCTCGCTTCTCTCGTGTTCGTCCGTTTTAACGGTTAGTATGGAATAGATAGTTGATGGTTTGCCGTATAAAAAAAAAACAAATCTATCCCAAAGGAATTGTACATTTTTCCAGGATAAAATGTAACCTATTTGCTATTCCAGACTAAAATCTATCTCTGTGCTAAAGATCCAGATCCGTTCAGCCGTTCTGGCGTGATTAAGTAACAAACATCCATCCATACTATACCATAACTTTCGTATTTATAATATTACTAGCATTGCCCGCGGCTCCACCCGCGTCCAGATGACCAAAAACCAATTCTTAGGTTTTACATATTAGTATACTCTTACAATGCAGTTTTAGTATTTTTTCTCAGAAATGAGACAATTTCCCGCGGTAAAAATTATTCTATATGTTGCCCTGGATAACCAGTTATTACCATACCAAATTTAATCAAAATCCCTCCAGTGTTTTTTCTGTGATGCGGTAACAGACAGACAGACAAAAATTCTAAAAACTATAGATTCGGCCTCTGTATCGATAATAATGTCTATTTCAAAAAGATTTTCCAAAAAATATTTAATGTACAGATTTGACTCAGAATCATATTATATGTATAGATAAAAATAATAATGGGATTAAGACTACGGAAGTGTTTTATGTTCCATTAATTCATTTTTATTTTTTATTAATTAGATGGATCTTTTCGAAAAATCTTTCTTAAATAATGCCTGGAGTATAAAGTCAATATTTTAAACGTCTGTCATCATTGGTTTGGGCTGAAAGTTGATAAGTCAGTCGGTGAGTCGCGACATTGCCTTTTTTATCTTACTAATATTATAAATGTCAAAATTTAGATGGATGTTTGTTACTCAATCACGCCAAAACGACTGAACTGATCTGGATGAAATTTGACACAGAGATAGATTATAGTCTGGTATAGCACATAGGCTATAGATTTGACGTGGGATCCCGATCACGTTCGCGTGGGATAGATTTATTTTTGTTTTTCTAGAGGCGAACCCGACCGAAGCGAGGGTGAGCTGCTAGTATATAATAAACATAGGTTTTGCAAATGTGCCTTAGGAGATAGACTCATGTTTAAACTTTTCTGTAGGCCTTTTTAAGGCCTACAATTTTCTAGTACATTGTTTTGATGTATCTCTTAAGGTTAAGCCAGCGTTAGCTATATAAACTTCTAAGGACGACTAGATAGCACCAG